ATCACAAAAGAAAAAGCTGAATGGGCACTTTATACTATAGGGTGGGTGCATGAATTCCACTTATCACCGCGTGGGAGAAAGGCATTTGATAATAAGTTTCTACGTAGCACACGTTCAACTCAAATGACGTGTAATTTGGTAGCCATTACTTTTCGGCAAGCAACCAGTCACGCTCTTGGAACTGTGGCAGAAAGCCTCAGTGAAATATGGTGAATTTTATCGCATACAGGGCAAAGAAAGCAGTTTCGACCTTGGGTTTCTCCATGTAGATTTCATACATACAAATAAAAAATATCTCAATAACGAAAGAAAAAATTACCTAGGTGGCTTTGTGATATAACACGTGGAAAGAATAACATAAACATCAGTCAGTGAGAAGACTTGAATCACCAATAATAGTGGGAAATAAACAAATATGAGGTACTTGTTCACTCCCGGATAATATGGATTCTCGTACGATGACCTCGAGACCAATATAAGTTTCCGGGTGAATGACAACAACAATTCAAACAATTACCATGGCTACGAAATAGACAAAATAATAATAACCACATACCAGTTTCGTTTGAGTAGGGCTGTTGCACGACCGGTGTACAGTTGCGGTTCTTCGGGCCATTTTCTAATCAATTCGTTGTAGGCACGAACAGCTGCAACGAAAGCCCTAGCTTTGACTAGACAGGCAGCTTGGGCAGAAGCCTGATCTACGGTAGAACAACGATCACATTGGGGAGATACGGAGACCGTGTCATCAGTATAGTTTCGTTCTGACGAGGTAAATGAGACACATGGGAAAAAGACACATTAGAAATGGTGATTGATCTACTACTCGAGGTAGACAACACAAATGCGAGGTTGATACAGAAGATGATTAAATAGATGAACAAAGATAGGAATCAGAATTTGCAGAAGGAAATTCGCAATGAAAGGTGCCAGTAGATGTTTTTCTTTTGTAGTTCCGGAGATTGCACTGGAGTCCTGTTCAGATAAGACGTTCTGAGCGGAAATTTAGTTGATCACCATGTGTATCATATGTAATTATCAGCAAAAACTGACAAACACTTGAACACTATGGAATGATGATTTTCATTTGTTGAGATGTTTACATTCTAAAACAGGACTGAAATCGCAGTGAATTTATTACCATTACTATGATAGTTCGCCGACGACCGAATCACAAAGACGTATCTCCCCACGTATACACCACGGTTATTTCATATTAACCAACCAGCATGAATCCTAATTGTCAGCGCAATATTTGTTCAACTGCCATGTGTTGAATGAATAAAGCGACAATTTGGTCATTTTCATTGTATTGTGCACCTATGTGGTGAGATGTGGATTCTTTGATGTAAAATATTCACGGCGACTGATAAGGGTTGAAAGACTAGTGGAGTGTATTGTAGTTGTTGGACTAGGGTCTTAAAGTATGGCCAACGGAGTCTGTTGCATCTCCATTAGAAGACATTAGATCATATGAATGAGGGTCATGAAGTGACAAACATGAATCCACTCATTACCGTCTTTCACTTTGTTTTGCTAAATCCCTGGACATAAAATGTACCCAGTTATTCCGATGTTTCTGGCACTTATGTACTATTTGAACGGAGAATAACGGTGACCAGAAGCGGGGTATTAGAATGAAAATTCAACAGATTTATGAGTAGTACCCATCGCTAGTTGATTCGGTGAGTCAGCTGCAGTATTTTTGAATAACAGTATGTCGAAAACAAAATTTCATTGCTCTACCTCTACCCCTACCCTCCTACCTCCCCCTCCCACAAAAAATGTCTTGTCATGGTTTCATGAAACATCTGGATAAGGTAAAAATCCGGTATATTTCTAGAGTATACCCTGTTGATTTTCTATTCCGCTAATCTGGCAAGCGATAAAACTTAAGCTTATCAATTCACTGATTATTTTCAAATGTTTTACCACTTAATTGAAGAATATGCAATCCGTGAGCAAACAAAATTTGATCTATAGCCTTTATGTGTCGCAAATGTTTGATTGATCAATATAAATTATGGTCGATGATTAGTTCCACATGACCATTCCGTAGTAACCAGACGTCCTGAAAGAATTCAGCAGGAACTGGCAATAAGCAACAGCATCTATCGATGTCACATCTTTCATATTAATCCTTTCACTCATCGCACTTGAAACCCCCTTCCCAACGTGAAATAGCGATAATCAGTTGATTGCCTCAAACGGTTTGTGTGAAAATACGGTTAGAAATGGGATGGATATAACATATTCCAGCTCACCTGAATCGGAAAGAGGGCAATTGTATAAACAATGAGCACTTGGACAAAGACGTCGATCGGAACGAGATGCCTGAAACAGCAAACCCCGTCGATGATCCGTTGTGTTCGATGCAACCGACGAATGATTTTGAGAACACGTGAATGGGGCACGGTAGTGATTGAGATTGAACAGGTAAATATGATCGCCGCCCAGATTAACCAACAGTTCATCGCCATCCGGACTGAAACTGACACAAGTGACATTCATGCTACGGTATGGTTCCTCGCTAGGCAAATGACCTGAGGTAGAAACATGAGAAAAAGAATCGCATATCAAACGACACACAAGTTGAACCCGTTCCATGATTCAATATACGGTGACAGCAGAACAACAATCAATATGTGAATAGAAAGTGAGCTACGTATTACCAACTAGATCACCATCAATGCCTCACCAAATAGTTTAAAGTTACCAAACAGCGAGCGGCACCTACAGTGGACACATCCGTGAACTATGGCCCAAACAGAAAAAATTTCGTTTTTATGGATGAAACATTTCACGCCTCAGATGACAGAAGTTTTATCGACATGTATACATCAGGCTACAGCAGGTTGGTTCTACTTTGGGTCCGACCGTCCTCCTTAGATGGTACGTTTTACAAAAAAAATGTAACATACCTTTTGTCGTTCGAAATCACACAACACTCTCTGGATATTGGTGAAATTCGGTGTCTAGACCTGTGAGTTATCGAAGGCTGAATACTGTTAACATGCTTCATATTGATGAACAACTGGACGGCAACGTATCAATTCACGTTTAGGCCCATAAAGACATGTATCGTACATGTGTGTGTATGTGTTAGGTGTGCTCAACGTCTTCGACACTACGAAGATCAAGGCATCACTTGGTGATTATTCATGATCAACAATGAAGTTCTTAGATGTTCTTCGTTATCTCAATAACCT